GGCCCCCTTCTGGGCTCTTGGTCACCGATTTGTTTGCCTTGCAGACGGACCAGCAGGCTGAGGCCCGGTCCTACCTCAGCGAGGAGATGATTGCTGGTGAGTGTGAAGGACGTTGCAGGGCAGGACAGCTGTGGAAACACCAGGGTGGACTTGAGGTTGGCCACCGCTGGGCTTCCGGGTGGGGGGGGAAGCTCCTGTGCTGGCAACCTGACTTGCCAGTCCTTCAGGGCCCAGGAGAGGTGGAAGGCTCTGTGTGCACTGAGTGGCCTGGGAGGCAGTTCTAGATTATGCTGGCACCATGGCTGTGGGGACGCCAGGAGCCCCTGAACCCCAGTGACTGGTAGGGGCAGCCTAGCACCTCCTTAACCTCTTGGCTTGGTGCCGGCCCAATGCCCATTTTGACAATGGGGAGACTGGTGGAGCAAGAGCCCGGCTCTGGCCTCGCTAAGCCGCGCTGTCTCCCCCACAGAGTTCAAGGCTGCCTTTGACATGTTTGATGCTGACGGGGGTGGTGACATCAGCACCAAGGAGCTGGGGACTGTCATGAGGATGTTGGGACAAGCGCCCACCAAGGAGGAGTTGGACGCCATCATAGAGGAGGTGGACGAGGATGGTGAGATGGCGCAGAAGCTGGGAGGGGGGAGAGGAGCCGGGGTTGGGGGGCTGGGGAGACCACCGCTGACTCCGGGCTGGAACACTCCCTGCAGGCAGCGGAACCATCGACTTTGAAGAGTTCCTGGTGATGATGGTGCGGCAGATGAAGGAGGATGCCAAGGGCAAGACCGAGGAGGAGCTGGCCGAGTGCTTCCGCATCTTCGACAGGTGGGGCTGGGTTCCTGGGCCCAGAGCCGGAGGTTCTGCTGGGACAGGCTTGGCCTTGGGGGACCGCGCATGTTTCCAGCCAAGCATCGTGGCCCCGAGGTTCCCGTGAACCTCCACATCCTGAGTCCCAAAATGGAGCCTCTTCAGCAGATCGCCCCTCATCTAAAGTTAGAACGAGGCCCGGCTGCATTTATTCGTTCATTCATTTGGTTGGCTCAGTACAAGCCTTTGGGCCTTCAAGGTGGCTAACGGCATTTAAAAACAAGACAGAATGTAAAAAGGTAAACACGCGGGGTAAAAGTTAACAGTTGCATTGAAATAATCTAAGAATGGAAAATCAGTTTTCCTTCCAAGACGGCCTGGCGAAGGGGACAGTGGCAAAGTCAGGAATTGAAGAGGGGGGGCGCGGTCCCAGAGTCTGCAGAAGCATACTTTCCTAGAGGCTGAGTGGTCTTCTCTAGCAGATCCTGTACTGAACAGGGGCTAAAGGACCTCTGGGGTCCCCTCCTACTCCAGAGCATTCTATGATTCTGCATGCAGAGGCCTCTTGGCTGGGCTCCCTCCTGCCCTCCCAGCTACTCCTTAGCTAGTATGGCAGGTCACTGCTTACCTGCTGGGCCTTGCCCCTCCAGGGAAGACTTGCAACTCTTCAGACATTCATTCAAGCCCAATCACCTCACGGATGGACTACTGCAATGAAC